CAACAAAGTTGCCCTGGCTGGCCTCCAACTTGCAATCCTCCTGCCTCAGCCTCTCAGATCACTAGGATTTACAGACATGTGCCAATACGCTGAGCTGTCAGCTTATTTTTTATTATTGATTTTTTTAGTTATATATAACATTAAGATTAATTTTTACATTATTATAAAAACATGGAATATAATTTGTTCTAATTCAGTCCCTAGTATTTCTTTTACCTTCTCCCTCCCTTTGTTCCCTTCCCTCTATCCTACTGACCTTTCTGCTATTTAATTTTTAGTTTCAGCTTATTTTTTGTATATTTTTAGTTGTAGAGGAATACAATACCTTTATTTTGTTTATTTAATCTTTTTTTTTAAGAGAGAGTGAGAGAGGGGGGAGAGAGAGAGAGAGAAATTTTAATATTTATTTTTTAGTTCTCGGCGGACACAACATCTTTGTTGGTATGTGGTGCTGAGGATCGAACCCGGGCCGCACGCATGCTAGGCAAGCGCGCTACCGCTTGAGCCACATCCCCAGCCCTTAATCTTTTTTTAATATTTTTTTTTTTAAGTTTTTTAGGTGGACACAATATCTATTTTACATTGATGTGGTGCTGAGGATCGAACCCAGTGCCTCATGCATGCCAGGTGAGCGCTCTACTGCTAAGCCACAATCCCAGCCCCAATCTTTTTTTTTTAATGTGCCTCACGTGTGCTAGGCAAGCGCTCTACCACTGAGCTGAAACCCCAGCCCAAGTTTCAGCTTATTTTTAAGTCTAGTGTAATCACGGTACATGAAGTTTTCATGTCCTGCGTTTTATCATTGTTATAGCATTACCATTTTCCAAGTTGCTAAATAGTATTCATAACCATTTTTAATGACTATTTTCTTATTCTTTTATTTTTCCTTATTAAGATATATGCACTTATAAATAACATTGCAGTGAATACACTTGTGCATGGGAGATTTTTGTTTGTTTTGTGTCTGTGTGTTTCATATTTTACACCATGGATTGAATTTTTCTTTTTACTTCTGGATAGATTTCCAGAAGTGGATTTCCTATATCAAAGGATGTGATCATTTTCATTGTTACTTTCTCATTGTTACTTTCACCATTGAAGTATTAAGGTACAAATCTCACTTCAAAACTGCCAGAATTGGGTATTGCTATTTAAAGTTTGGGTTTTTTGACTAATTTTTAAATAATCAATAATTTGCCTTGTGAAAAATTATTAGCATCTTGAACATTTTTTTTGTTTGTTTCCTAATAGCATTTTTTTTTTTGTACATTATTCTGTCCTTTGTTGATCTCAAGGGAATAGGGAGATCTCATTTGTTAATGAGTTCTTTCTACAGCGTAGGTATTGATCATCATGGTTTCATCTGGAGAATTTACTTCATGAGGTATTAAAGGAACAGGGATGTTGAGGGAGGGTGGCAAAAGAAGGGAGGGACCAAGACCAGGGTAAGCAGCCCAATGGCAGGACTTGCAGCATCTTTTCTAGGCCCTCAGCCAGCCCCAGTGCTAGTCTCTGAGCCCTGGGAGGAGGCAAAACTGGTCACCTGATCTCTGGAGAGGCCCTTTGCTCCAGCTGCTCTCCTGGGTCATAAAGGGAGCCTGGCTTCCTTCCCTGGGGTTCCTCTTGTCTGCAATAGCAGACTGCTCTTATTTCCCACCCAGCCCCAACCCCCTTTTTTAATCCCACAGAAATAGTTTTATCTCTTAATTCTGAGGTCATTTGCATCGGAGATGGGTGTGAGCTGGCTGTAAAAAGCCTGGCCTTTTTTTTTTTTTTTTTTTTTTTAAGCCTGGCCTTTTTTGTTTTCTTGGGCCTGAATCCTGCACCTAGTCATCTCACTTTCTAAGTGCATTCCTCCCCTAAGCTCCAAGGTCTGCCTGAGCTTTTGTAGCTCACCTGCTGGAATGAAGGACCTGCTTCTTTACCTTTTCTAGGAAGAAGTTAACTGAGTGTTAAATTCCATTTTGTTCTCATGACTTCAAATATATATCATCTTGGTGATTTTCCTCCCTTCCTGCATTTTCTGTAGATAGAAAAACAGGACTAACTTTAGGGCTCTAAAACTTTAAACCCTTGGGGCATTCTGAGGAGCACAGGTGCAAATTAATGTTTGGGGAAAGCAAATCAGGTTCCCTGGGGCTAGAGAAGATGAGGAGGGGAGGCTTGAAGTAGGGAGAAGGCTGTGCAGGTGAATTTGACAACTGAAACCCCTACTCAAACTGGTTTAAACAAGTACCACCACCAATTATTGTCTGCCTAGCAGTTTGTACCATGGTTACACAGTTTACTAGATTATTAACCCTTTAGCTTTGGGCAAGTAATTTAACCTGAGTTTTCTTACATGAAAAAGAATTGTTGGTATCAAATGACTTATTATAAGCAACTACCACTATAAATTGTTATCTCAGCTAGAATAAGTCTAGAGGCAGTGTGTCTCATGGTCACACAATTTATCAATCATTAGCTATGTGACCTTAGGTAAGTAACTTAAGCTGAGTTTCCTCATTTATGGAAAAGGATTGTTGGTATTAAATGAGTTAATATAAATAAAAATCTTAAAGAAATCACTAGCATACCATGTTTTATAAGTATTCATAAGCAACTATATTGGTCAGTCATTGCTGCATAACAAATGCACAAATCTCTGTGGTTTACAACAGTAAGTATTTCTTTCTGATGTGTCTGCAGGTTGGTAGAGCTTAGCTGGGCCATTCTAATTCATCCTGTGTGCACAGTTGATTTTAGTTCTGGTGTTGGATGAGCTGAGTTCTCTCTCTTGGTGTTCCTTCTGGGACCCAGAGTGGCCCTGCAGCAGGAACCAGAGGAAGGGTGGAATCCCAAGATTGTAGAAAACAAGGCTGTGGTCAGGAACTGGCATACCATCATCCTGCCACCTTTGTTTTGGCCAAAGCCTCACATGTCCCAATATCAGCAGGGAGGGAAAATAACCTCCTCCCACTCCAGTGGGTGGCAGTGTAAAATCACATGGTCATGGACATGGAGAATTATAAATAGCATACAGAGGAAAGTGATCAGTAGGTAAAATCTTAAAAGCAAGTAAATCTCCTTATTTAACATTGTTAAACTTGAAATATTTTCTAATTCCTTCTGTGACTTCCTCTTTGATCCATGGGTTATTTAGAAGTGAATTATTTAATTTCTATATCTTTGGGGAATTTCCTATATATTTCTGTTATTGATTTCTACTTTAATTCTCTTGTAATCAGAGAACATATTTAGTGTCAATTAAATTTACTAAAGTTGCTGGCTGTGCTGTGATTATGTAATAGAATGTCTGTGCTTCATGGAAACACACTCTGAAGCATTTAGGAGTAAATTGTCAGTGTATCTGACCTACTCTCATTTGGGTCAGAAAAAACTCTGTGTGTGTGTGTGTGTGTGTGTGTGTGTGTGTGTGTG